CAATGATCATTGCAATAAACATGGTTCTTCTCCTCAGTGTTGTGCTCCTGCCTTTGGCAAAAATTCCACAACAAAACCATGCCACCCAAATCTCAGGCCATGTTCTTCTAATTCTAACAATCTCTTATTTCTTAATAACAACCATTCCTTCATCCAAACCAAACAGCAGGCAGCAAATACAATTCAAAATCAGGCAATCCCAGTTCATCTCTTTCCTTTATATCTTGGAGAACCTCATATTTAACCCTTGGTTTTTTCCCCTGCCATATGAATGTGGATATATCTTTTTACCATTGTTTGAAGAGTACATCATTTCTCAAAACAAGTATTGTCCAAAATAAAAACAACATTCTGGGTAACTCATTCATTTTTACCACAGAAGTTCTTCCCAACCATGATAATTGTAACTTTCCCCATCTGACTGTCTTAATTTCACTCTATACTTTTAACATAATTATTTTGAAATAACATGTAATTGATATTAGTTATAATAATGACTAAATATTTCACTTTTTCTCAATCTGAAACCCAGTTTTTGCGAACAATTCTTTTTGACCTTCCATCTTCATATTCTTTGTCAACGTCTTCATTTTCTCCTTATTAATTTTATAAAGGTGAACAATATAAAACTATATAAACAGGAAAAGTACAGAACAACTAAAAAGCAACTAAGCCATAAGATAGCTGAAATTAGCTCTAAATCTAGAGGAGGGGGTAAGTATTAAACACTAAGGACTATCTAATCTGAAAATAGAGATTAATATTTAGAATGTAAAAATTAGAGTTAAAAAGTTGGGGAATTAGAATAGCTGCTTCAAATTACACTATTTAAAATGTTTATAAGCCTGGGCTTGGACTTACCTATCTGACATCACCAGGGTGATCATACATGCATTTTATTTATATATTTAATCAAATTTATACTCTGCCCATCTTGCTGTATAAGTGACTCTAGCAACCTACAAGTAAAAAAGTGATTAAAAAATGATAAAATCTTTACAAAAATATACAAAGTAAAAAGATGGAGAGAGCATCGTCAAGCCGCCAACCACCCTCAGTACTGTGAACCCCCATTGGGTCCCCATGCTAGTTGACAGAGCCAGGTCTTAATGCTCTTCTGGAAGGCCAGAAGAGTGGGGGGCCAATCTCACCTCGGGGCAAGATGTTCCACAGGGCGGGGGCGATGGCAGAAAAGTTCTCCTCTTAGATCCTACCAGTTGAAATTCTTTAGCTGATGAGGTCTGTAATTTGCCCTTCCTGCCAGACCGGGTGGGATGGGATGATGTAATCAGGATGAAATGGTTCCTCAGGTAACCTGGGCCCATGCCATGAAAGGCTTTAAAGGTCATAACCAATACTTGAATTGGACCTGGAAGCAAACCGGCACCCAATGCAGCTCATGCAGCAGGAGTGTTACATGCACAGCCCTCGAGGTGCCCATAACTGCCTGCACTGCTGCATTCTGCACCAGCTGCAGCTTCCAGATACTTTTCAAGGGTAGACCCACATAGGGCACGTTGCAATAGTCCATATGGGAGATGACCAAGGCATGAGTGATTGAGAGAAGGGCTTCCTGATCCAGGAAAGGGCACAACTGGTGCATAACTCAGAGTTGAGCAAAGGCCCTCCTAGCTACAACTGCCAGCTGCTCGAGCAGAAGTCATGAGTCCAGGAGGACCCCTAGATTATGTACTGGGTCTGTCTGGGGCAGTGCAACTCCATCCAGGACCAAAGATGGTAAGCCCCAGATACAGAAGATCCCTGAACCCACAGCCACTCCATCTTACCAGGGTTCAGTTGAAGCCTGTTGTTCCCCATCCAGACCCCCACAGCTTCTAAGCATGCAAAAGAACATCCACAGCATCACTTAGTTCACCCAGGACAGAGATGTACAGTTATCCATATACTGATGATACCTCATCCTGTGGTGATGGATGATCTCACTCAGTGGCTTCATGTAGATGTTAAAAGGGAGTGGAGAGAGCACCGAGCCCTGTGGAACCCCACAAAGCAGGGGCTGTGGGCTGGACCTCTCACCCCCTATCAACACCGATTGGGACTGGCCTTGGAAGAAGGAGGTGAACCAGCACAAACCTCAGGGGACAAGATGTTACATAATGCCATTTCAGGCCTTGGTTAGGTATGTGGACCTGTGAAGCCTAGAATTCTATCAACAGCCTGAAGCTGACACAAGATTACCTACAGGCTGTATGGGTGCAGATAATAGTCTGCTTGGGCCAAGACTTAGAGTCTGTTATGGTCTGCCATGTTCTATATACTGTGCAGAATTTTGCAGTGCTGTACATAATGGCAGGATTCTCATCTGAAAGTAGCCAAGAAGCTTGTGTGACTGAGATACTTGTACGGGAGCAAAGTAATAAGATTGCATGAGCATCTCTGTAAAATGGGCAGTTGAGGAGGATATGTGTTATAGTTTCAACCTGCCCAATGGCACTTGGACACTGTCTCCCCACCATAGGATGCTTCTTACATCTGCCTTCAAGAATGGCCAAGGGGTGGGCATGGCACTGAGCCAAAGTTACCCACCCCCATGGCTTTCAGTTTCTAATTGCAGATAAGAGAGGAGACAATGTACTGAAGTCTCTTGGGACTGAAGAAGTTTGGAGCGCTACTCAAATCTGTCATTCTACATCCATTATTCTGACACTTTAAGACATAAAGAAATTGTTCCAGAAAGTTATGGGCAGGGAAAAAGGGCTAGTCGAAACTGGTGATGGTAATATTTGTAGCATTCCATCAGATTGTATGATGAATAGTATATTTCTAAATAGAGTTTAATTTTTCAAAATCAAATTACATGTCATGCCTGCTTTTGCTAATTGGAGACATGCTGTTTATCACTTTACCATCTCTGGAACTCATCAAGCAGTCACATTTACCTGTTTATCTTCATCACTCAGAAAAGAAAAAAACCTTTACCAGACTCCTAAATACTGCAGGGACAGGCTTCAGCTGTCAAGTTTTCTATGTTAAACTCATTTAAAAAAATATATTAGTTCTATGACATCCTCTGTCATAATGCAACTGGCACATTCATTATTCTCTGCTTGATCTGTGTGATATATTTAAATTTAGTTCGCATTATAGAACATGTAATAAGAAAAAGGTATGAAAGAAGAAGATACATTTTAACTTCCATTGTTGCTCTCTGGATATTGGAACTTTGACCTTCTCTGAACTTTGGCCTGGTCTCCAGGCAAATGAATCTACCTAAGCTTTTTATATCCCACAATGTCCCCAGCTTAATTTCTGGGACATTAAATGAAAAGGATGACTAGACCAAGTTATCTAGTATTGTTTGAGACAAGTTCATCACTGTCTTAAGAACTGCCAAGATGGTTCTCAAAGCCAAATTAGTCAGGGTCCCATGAAACCTAGAGCTGGGCCTGCAAAATGACTAAGAGAATTTTGTGTTTGTGTGATATATGTGTACATTGAGGTGTGGTCAGTGTGCATTTTTTTCTTGTGGGAACAAAACACGTGAAGGATCACCTTAAGCTTTGTCATAGAACCACCATAAAATATAGCCGTGATTTCAGTTCTCATTGATGCTATATCATAGAGATATAGATTTGGCAGAGTATTGGCTGAATACGTATGGGAATCTTGAGCCAAAGCCAGTGGAAGAATAATTAGTTGGATGAACAATTTCCTGCATATCACTTATTCATAGCAGGTCACCTCATATCAGTCTTACTGACTTGATTTCCCTCTTCACTGTGCATGACAAGTAAGACCTGTAGCACATCAGCACAGGCTTTGCTTCTTTCTCTACGATTTCAATTATATGAAGTCCTATTTGCTCATACATAAACCTCTTTACAGTTATTTAGGCCTTGCTACTAACAGCTTCTGGGGTGAGGGTGGTGTTGGGGAGGTGGATATTTGTATTAATAAGCAAAGATTGTTCTTGATTTCTTAATGGGTTGAGGCAAAATTGGATGGGGTAAATTTAATACTATCTAATACTTAACTTCATCAATCCTAAAGGCAAGTATCTTGTTTCTGTGACATTGATTGGATCACCAATTCTTTGCTACTTAACATTAATAGGCTAATAGTACATAAAGTGTCCAAACTTGTTTAAGTAGCAAAAAATTTTACTTTACACTTTATGTACTATTAGCCTATTAATATTAACTTGTGCCAAGAAGCTGCTTCACCACCCTGATTCTCACTATAGTTTTGCTCAAAAGTTTCCTAAAATCCCTATCCCTATCTTACCCTGAAGGTTGAGAGCCACACACCATGTCTTGTCCTTATGAATAACATCCTTAGGTATTTGTTCAGATTTCTAGTCCCATCCTTAAATATTTGCTAAGATACTTCTCAGCCTGAGTTGTTTCTCATGCCTGATTAGAAATGCAGTTCTGATTTACATGCAGGTACAAATACATGTGTGCAAAGTTCTCTTGGCAACATATCAGTTTGTTAATGCTGTTAATAGTTGAACTTCTCCAAAATATCTTTAGAAAAAGGATTAGGCTGCTGTTCCCATGTACATGGCAAAGAATCCTGGTTATTCATTGTATGCCTAAAGAGAAGTGCAATTTAAGTGTTGTGTCTGGTTTGGTCAGGTTCCTTGCTTAGCCATGAACATTGTAAAATATTCTTGAGCAAATAATTATTTTGCAGCCTAACCCATTTTACTGGATTCTGTAAGGCTATTGAGTTATCTTGATGAAGGTGGTATTGTTTGTGGGTTTTCTTTTTGAAATGAAATATGATGATTTACGATATTGCTTACCATTTGTGAGAGCTATCTGGGACACATTCTGGAAAATCAGTAATAAACACTTCCTAATATGCTTGCAAATCTTTAGAAACAGATTGATTCAGTTCAATATAGTGCATTCTAGAAATCATACACAGGACACACTGCTTAATGTTAAAATAAATGTATATATTTTTAAACAGCTAGACAAAAATGAAGCCAAAACTAGACATTTGATATTTTGTTCCTGAATTTGTGGGTACTAATGAATATACTGCTGCACATGCAGAGAGAAACACAGATATTGACACCAGAATTCTTATTTGACTCAACCATTTTTAAAATATATTTATGACAGACAATATATATACATATGTTAGTAAATAATAACTACAGCTACTACCCTGTTTAAATAGCAGACTTACAGTTATATACTGACACATTTTATTGGATCAAATCAGCACAAAGTGTAGACAGGTAATTGATCATGTTTCTGCCTATGACTTAAAATATTTTAAATATATTTTAAATGTTAATGATCACTCTGAAAATAAATGGCTAAAATCCAATTGTTTTAAGTATTTCATTAGTATCTTTCAAGTATACATTCAGTTCAGTCTCTCATAACATTCATAATATAGAAATGACTAGTCTTGTTGATGATGAAACAAAGTAATTTTTTTAAAGCTTACTTAGAATCACTTCCCCTAAGCATGGAAGTTATGTAACAGGAGTGCATGTTGATTCTATCCATCTCTGTTACTATTGTTAAGCAACCAGAGCCTTGGAACTTCGAGCTTGTGCAAAATTGTACTACGGCTAGTAGATACAATGAACTCATTCTGGAGTTGCAAGTAAAGTGAGCTAATGGTGGCTTATCTTCACCTCTGGTCCTATTCTGCTCTGAAGAAGTCCTTCAATAGAGTATTTTACCTGCTTCATGCTTGTGTTGACTCAGCAGTACCAATGGGTGCTACAGTCCTGGATCAAAAAATAGGTTTTCACTTTTGCTAGAATTATATTTTAACAACCATAGACATATCAGAATCATGACAAGTTTTCGTCAATAAATATGGAATTAATGGTAATGAATAAGGTTAAGCAAATGATTCCATCCCATTGTGGGTACAATGCCAAGACACAGAAAACGTTCATAGGCTCAATAGAATCCTGTTTCCTCTCTCCATTTACTTATGCATGCCCAAGAATATAAAAGAGGAGAAAAACAGATTTTTCTATTAAACCTATGGGTTTTCATGACTAGGTGAATTGGGAGCATGTACACACTTGAAATATAACGATGATCAGTTGCCAGTGCAAGTTATAGATTTTTCTAACACATGAAAAAATAACCCAATCTTTAGCATTACTATCTTTCTGTGACTCTGAATTCTGTGCATTGGCTCAAAGATCATAGACTTGGTCTAAGGATCATAAAGGTTACAGATTTCTCTTTTTATGGAAAATTCTGCTTGAACACTGTGATGAGATCTTTCTCCTCAAAATATCTAGTGCAATAACAGATGCTCATAAAACAAGATGAGTGAGAAATATGAGTAGTGTGCCCAATGAATCTGAATCATCTACTCTGGGAGATCAATAAGGATATTTCAACCATCGATCCTTCCCTATGCACAAATTTGGTTTAGACTATTCTATAGTGCAGTATTGTGTGATGGACTCACAACATGTTCATCTTTCTTTTTATGTTGAGATACGCACTGACATTTAGGAAGATGATCAATGTTAGCTGAGTCATAAAACTTGAACATGAAGTATGGATCTGCTGTTGACTGTGAAGTGCTCCTTGGGTTCTGCAAAGATGAAAAATATGAAAATTTAAAAGGAACATGTATACACAAATTCCTAGAAAAACGTATTTGCAGCAATTAATATTAGAAGCTGTAACAATATAGTTTGCAGAATGCCCTTCACAAAATCTCTGGACATATATAAATGTAAAGAAAGGAATACTTTGGGATATTGACCTTTAAATCTAAAAATAGAACTTACAGATTTCATTAACTGGATACAGTCAGGAATAAGCCACATGTTACACTGAATGCCTGTTACTCATTTTTTATCCAAAATAACTTATTTTAAAAAGGCATGGCAATAGGCTGCATACCAATCAAGTGATTAGCTTTGGAAAAGGAAACAGAAAGAATAGGGGTATCTGACATTTCTCCTTCTGTAACCATGGGCAGATCTCTGGAGCTGATTTAGGCGAGGAGAGAAATACAATAAGAGAGCCATTCATGGATCTTCTCTTATGTAAAATCAGGTCAAGCTCCTACTTGTTAAGTTTCATTTCTTTCTTGTACTTCCATTTTCCCACGACTAGCAATCCAGGAGTGGAAGTAATTAAATACATAACCATAATGTTGAAAGGGTAATTTATGGCTTGTAACAATCCAGGGTTTGTAACAATCTCTGGTTTATAATTTGTTTAATTTGGTAGGCTTGGAAATTAGGCTGTATTTTTCTAGAAGGACATATCATGTGGCGAGGAAGTATGTTCAAGGCAGAGTATGCCAATAATGATTAGATTCAGAGACAGAGATGAGATTAAAGGTTTTTTTAAAAAAATTAAATGTAATTTATAGAGCCAATTTAATTTGTAATATTATATAGATTAGAATTAAATAAATCTGCATATACAGTGAATTAACCTTGTAAAAATTGGTGAAATCATCAGAATGATTTTTTTCTTTTAGCAGCTATTTAAACTTCTAATGTAGTCCACAATTTTATAGATTTTAACCAAAACATGTAATTGGTTAATTTCCTGCCTCTTTCCCCCATTTTTCAATTTTAAAATGGTTTTTAATAAACTAGGATCAAATTGTCTTCTCACAAGCACTGAAATTTGGGGCACGTGATGGGGAAAAGTTGACTTGCTTTCCTCTGTTATTTTTTTTAAAACATTTGCACTGTCTTCTCTGCTGTGACATTAGTCCCACTGAAGCTGATGGACCTTCTCTTTCTCTAATACTGTCTTTCAGCAATGCTCATGTAATGGTAGCAGCCATTTTCTGTCAAGACTGGACCTGGAAAATACTTCATTGTAGTAATGAGGAAATGGCAGTAGCTTGAGGAAATGATGGAGTTCATGAATCTTAATCCTCCTCCAATTTTATGACTCACCAACTCCTGAAAATCATCACTCTTTTGATGCTTTTAATCATCTGTGAATAAAGTGGACAAAATGGGGGGGGGGGGAAGGACCCGAGCATTCCCAATAATTTTCACCCTTCAAGAATACAAACCATTCTTTCCTGCTTTTCCTCTCAGATTGAATTCTCAATTCAAATTATTGCTGTAAAAATGCATTTATACATTTATTTTTTCCTCTAGTGTACTGCTAAGAATATTATACATTAAGATACTGTATTAACTCTTAAAAGAGTAATTAATGTACAATTCCCACTTCAGTAAAGATTATGGTATATTCTGAGCACAACTAATTTCTTTACTACAAATCAAAGAATTGTTGCCACACTTGTATTAGTCTACCAGAGAGGCAAAAAATAATGCAGAGTGGATGAAAGAAGTCATTGGTTGTGGGAATGCAGGAGAGGGAAGAAATATTCCAAGGACTACCATAATCAGCCAATGCAGAGCAGCTTTGGGGCTGCACTGGATCTCAGTAGTGCAAATGATAGCATTTCTCTGTTTTCCCTACTCATAAGGAGAAGAAAAGGAGCCATCCATGTTGTTCAAGGAAACATTCCCTGATGGCTGAGCAAACTATTTGTAGCATATACAAAATATAAAACTATAGCTTTGTGGATGATAGTTTAGGGTGGAGCACCATTTAAAAGTGACAATTCCCTCTTTTTTATTGTATCTAAGAATTAAAAAAAGACAGTGTTGGCAGCCACACAGGTTTTTAATTTTTTGCATTGATTGATCATTCTGGATACTGATGGATGGATGTGGTCTTGCTACCCAAAAGGCTAATAGTTCTATCAGATATTTAAGAGAATGCATCAAATGCTAAGACACATTTTCCTGCTATTTTCCTGTGATTAGTTTCAAAAAGATGCATAAACCCCCTTGCATACATACAATAGCTTAATAATGGCCCAACTCTGTGGACAGTAAACCACATTTATCCAAACAAACTGCTTTGGAGATAATACACAAAACATGGGTATAGCTGGGTGAATGCACACATGATAGCAATTTACCAAGGCGTATATTGGCACTGACTACATAAGGTTACATGAGAGGCGCGTACACACACTCTGAATTCACACTGTTAGACATTTATACAAAGCTATGATTTGGATAAAAGGTCAATACTGTGCTCTAATCAGGCAGTTATCTAATTAGCAATGTTCCACAATGAAAAAGAGAAGCAGAAATTCTAGATGATTAAACTGCTGCCAAGGAATATCATTTCAGATGACAAACAGATACCAAAAGTTTGAATGGTGTTGTACATAAGATGAACTCACTGCACATTTAAAACTAGCATGCTTGGAAAGCATTAACTAGCTAGTTTTCTCTTGACATGACAGTGTTGTAATGATAGAAAATGCTGAAGAGAGATACTAAAACTCCCTTTTACCCCCTTCCCAGGTCACTTTGAGTACCATTTGGGTATTCTGAATGTTTAAAAAAAACCCTCAAGGGTGCTTTTGATATAACCACTTGAAAACCTGGGTGGTTGCCTCATGGCTGTTTTTTTCTTGGCTTTATAAAGGGGTAACTGGTGAGAGAAAAGGCTTACTTTCCACAAAGGAAAAACCTGTTCTTAGTAGAGTATCATCTCAGTTTACTAGTTGCAAGGCGCTGAATCTATGATTTAAGCGGTATACTGTATACATGTTTGTTAAATCTGCCAATTTCAGGAGCACCATTTATTGCTGGAGATCATGGAATCTGCAAGTTCCTCTGCTTCCTTACTGAATCCCTTGGTCCCAAACAGGACACACTAGCTTATGTCAAACTTGTTTGATTCTGGAAGTGAGAGCGCAACCCCGTTTTTCCTGTCCTCCTAGTCCTTCCATCTTGACAATTTATTATGTTGATAAGCATTTTTCCCACTGAAACTTGCCATATGTTACAGAGATTAATTATATACTTCAAGGGTTCCTCTATTTGAGGAGATTTCATCCAAACCATAAACTAGGACAGTGGTTAGCGGTCTCACTTTCTCAATGACATCACTAAAATAGCAGAGCTGAATGTTAGGCCCTTGTTTTATTATATTTTCTTTAAAATATGCATGTTAAGATACTAGAAGCTTAACACAATCATTTGGTTTGTTATTTCTAAAAACCCCAAGAAAACTGCACTACTAAATGTTTATGATTTGAAGTTAACATTCAGCGGTACAATCTTGCTCCAGGATGCGCAAAATAAAAGCTGGGGATCCAATTCAGTTAGAGGATGGAGGGGAGCTAGGAGAACAGGGATTCTGAATTTGCAAATTACTTCTATGTGTGCAAATCAGTGCTAT